TGAAGCCCTGTCGATTGACGCCCTCAGGGGAAGGAGATGAGGGTTCTGCAGTGAGAGAAGGGCAGAACGGGAGTATGCTCTACCTCGGTGCGGCTGTCTTGTGCGTCAGTGAGACTTCGTCCTCAGTCTCTGAAGCGTCTGATATTGGAGAGTCAGAGTCTGACTCTTCTTCTATCCGCTGTCGAGACTGAGTATACCGCACCTATGATGCGAGCGCCGCGTGCGTTGGATGTTGTAACTCTGGGTGCATTTCGCACCACAGAGTATGCAGGCGCCTGGCATAGCCTGAGGTCTGTGGCTCGCATCTCTCCCAACACTGCATTAAATCCCGTCTCAGCTCCACTGTCTACCTGAGACGCTGTTGGGGGTGGTCCGTGGACTATATCCGGATTGAAACGTATCGTAAGGCCCCTCCCTACTGTTCTATGGCCTTCATCCGAAGAGGGCCGGTTGTGGGGGGCCGTTGCAGGTATGTTTTTAGGAACCTGTTAAAATCCTTTGCAAAGGTTGTAATGTTTAACAAAACCGAGATGGATAGTTTCGTTCCCCACGCCCAGAGAGTGGGTAATTCCCGCTATTATTATTGTTATTGTTATTATTATTGTTGATAAGATTTCTTATCTCTCTAAAAAAATCTTAAGTTTTTCTTCGTCTTTTTTCGAAATGTTCCTCCGAAAGAATTTGATTTCTGTTCAGTCTTCCTTCCAACTGATTTAACCTCATCTCTAAAGCTAGAAGTCCTCCATTAGTACTCTCTTCGACACAATCGGCATATTGAGTTCTCCTTCCAGCTCTAGTTGGCCTACGACTTGGACTCACGTTCTGACACCAATGTAAAATAAGATCAGAACAACTTTAGTAAATGAATTGATAAAGAAAAAGTTTATTAAAGATCGACAGCATTTAATTGAAACGAAGAATCCGTGCGGTAAACTCAAGTCTCAGTCAATAACAAGAGATAATCAAACTCTCCCCTCGTTGCTGTAAACAATCTAATCGTCAAGCAATCGTCGTTAACTAACAAACTGTTGTTAGGCTAATAGTAATTAGATGGAGACATACAAATATTTAACAATATATTAAATGACGATGATCATTTTCAGGCACTGTCAACAATGAAATATCTTACTACAAATTAAAACGTTTACCCTGGTGTAGTCCTCTCTATTCATTGAAGATCACTAAAAAAATGCATTATTGTGGTGAATACGATAAAGACGAATATTCGAAAATTCTACAGTTAATAAATGTTCGATTGGCCGAATTGGTACTTTTTAACTTCCCAGTGGGAAGTTGTAGTAATGGGTCCGATTTTGCGAATCGCTAATTTTGACGTATCTCCACGTTTTAAGGTCCCCAGAGTTGCATACGATCGTTTTTACGTGGACGTCTGTGTGTGTGTATGTACGTATGTGCGTTAAGGATAATAAAATAGTCAATGATTATTCTTAATAATGAGAAATTGTGTTCATAACGATTGAACATTGTTAATAACAAATGATTATCGATCATGATAATATTTGAATGAAAAATTTTTTAATAGTTATAAACAATAAAAATAGAGATCTATGCAATATATTTAAATTCTTTGAACGCGTAATTTTATCTTTTGCTAAAAAAAAGTTACCAACCGTACGACATGAATGGAAACTCATTCTTTTTGTTTATAACAATTAAATCTGTTATAAACAAGGAAAATGGAGATATATGCAATATATTTAAATTCTTCCAACGCGTAATTTTTTCTTTTGCTAAAAAAAAGTTGATAATAAATAAATTCGAAAGCCTATTCTAGAATGAATCGACAGTTTTTACGTGGACGTCTGTGTGTGTATGTACGTATGTGCGTATGTTCGTATGTAAGTACGTACGTTCGGAATTATTTTTCGCCTCGATTATCTCGAGAACAAAAAATGATATCGACGTGGGACCAACTGCATTCGACGCGTAATCACGTAACTTAGAACTGATTAGATTTTCAGCAAAATCGGTAGAGCAATTTTTTTGGCAGAATCGACAAACTGGAAAAATAGTGAACTACCTAAATTTTGAAATTTATCAATTATATCATTTTTTAGACAGAATCACGAGATCTTTCGGAAAAAATGAATATTAAATGTTTGTAATAATTTTATAAAAATATGATATCAATATTTCATCGTAAAAACAAAATTTAATAAACAATGTCAGCAATGAAAAAATTTTAAACTCGTGTTAGGATTGAGAAAACAGCATCAAAGACGCTATAATAGTCAATGATAATTGTCAATAATATAGAATTGTGTTCATAACAATTGAACATTGTTACTAACAAGTGATTATTGATCATAGTAATATTTAAATTGTTATAAACAATAAAAATAGGGACCCTTTTTATATATATGAGTACTTTTAACGCATAATTTTTTCGTTTACTAAAAAAATGTGACCAACCGTATGCCATAAATGAAAACATACTTTTTCCGTGTATAACAATGAAATTCGTTGTAAATAATGAAAAAAAGGATCTATGAGGTACATTCGAATTCTTCTAACGCGCAATTTTTCTTCTACTGAAATGAAGTAACTAACCATATCAAATAAATGAAAACAGACTCATTTGGTTTTTAACAATTCCATTTGTTATGAAAAATGGAAACGGGTTCTATTTAAATTGTTTTTTTATTTTTTCCACTGGGAAGTTGGTCGTGTAGACCTTTCGGGTCGCACCCAGACCACTGCAGAGCACTGATATTTCTGCTTAGCATACACAGTATCCTAGTGCATATTGCAATGCCCTTTAATATTTGGAAAATTACATATTTGTATCTAAAATAAAAAAAAAGCGTTGCTGCAGAAAAGTTCGAACGTTCATTAAGTAACTTTGTGAGTCAAAATAAAATGATTGTTTGTGGCAAGAAAATTAGCTTAAAAAATTTATTGACAATATACTCTGAAATTATAACTTCACTTTTTTGTGATTCTTTCGTACTCATTTTTGATTATATCCGAGAATTCAATTTGTTATAAACAATTGAAAACGGGTCCTATGTAACATATTTGAGTTCTATCATATCGTCGTAGGTTTCTGAAATTGTGTTATTCGCAGAAGAAGTTGCAGGAATCGACTGGTTAAAATTAGGACTAATACTGGCACTTTTTGGTGGTTTGGTTGTGACCCGAAAAGTCTACACGACTAACTCTCCAAGGGAAAGACTGAAAAGATCTAGCTAGTTAACGATTTTTCGTTTAGTCTTCTGATTCTGCGCAATAAATAGAACGCACGTACAAACGTATAAACCCACATGTGTATATTGACGTTCACTAGAAAACTGTTGTATTTGACTCTGGAGGCCTTAAAATGCAGAAATATATCGGCTTTGTAGAATTAGACCCATTACTAAGACTTTTTACAGGAAGGTCACGGGTACAACACAATGGCCTCCATTGAAGGATGCCCTTAAATTTACAAAATCTTAACTCACATAGGATTTTTTCTTCAGATTGATCATTGTTTATGATAATAAGAAATATCGTTAAATCAAATATGATTGACTCGTATTCAATTTGTACTGTGTATAATTGTTTGTTACTACCAAATTTGTTGTAAACAATGCAAAAATAGTCCTTAATTACTAATTATAGATTAATATTAAATTAGTTGTTTATAATCATCAACGATTTTTAGCTACAAAATAATTTCAAGCAAACATCAAGCCTTTACAATTGTTCACGATTATTATTATATATTTAGTTTCTCTGACGATTTTTAGAAAATAATTTCACGTTCATTTATTATTCATTCAATTTATCCAGTCAAGAGACTAGTCATTCTCTTGCAAGTTTCCGATTTGTCCTACAATGTCTCCGCCGTCTGCTCAGAGAAAAGCATCTCCAGGATTGCCAGACACTCAATGCTACCAGAATGTCGTGAAACAGAAACTCAGTTGCCATTCTCACCCATAACGCACGTGTGACCGGTCACGTCTCTTCTCGGTTGTTCAGTTATTGTGTTTCACAACTAGTTTTTGAATTTGTTTAAAGATTTGCACGTATCTCCAAAACTCGAGGAACGGTTGTGCACTATGTTATGTAGTTAACAATCCCTAACGGTTTAAAAACACTCATTCAATCACTCTTCGCCTATTGCTGTGACAACCATGTGCATCATGCATCACTGAACTTCATTATTATCATCTTGCATTGTAAGGGCTTTATAACCTTTCACACACTCAGATAAGACACTTTAAAGGCTTTCGAACACTTATTTGAGAAGAATAGCATTGTATGCCATTTACAAACACATACACTCAAGCAATAAACACATTCAAACAAACATATGTGACCCTTATTTACGCGTTTAATTGTAAAGTAATCTAAAGTGTTTTAATCTTGTGATATCAAACGGAAGTTATGCTGTGTATTTTAGTACAAACTCGAGAAAAAAAAAAAGTAACTATCGATTGTTAGAATTATTTTTAGCTACCTAGTTCACCCTGAAATATCTTTCTGTTCAAAACTTTCAAACAGAGTATTATTTCTGTGGGATTTGATAAAATGAAATAATATACTTAAATTTAAGTGTAATTTTTTTTCATCTTCTGTCACTAGTCCAGAACACGAGTGTTCAAATTTTCTGCAGAGTTCACACAGTTGAATTTTTTATCTTGTCATCTCTGTGTTGAATTTTGTATTTTCCAGATATTTGTGCAACTACTTTTATGTTTGTTTCATTCCAAACCGATTTCGTCTTGGTACAGACGAGTTTGTGACATAGCTTTCGGCTGTTAGTTTTCATTCTCATCATGAGTTACTGTATTGCCCTCTGTAAAACCTGTAAGACTGTTCGATTCTTGTGAAGACAGCATACGCTTTTTAAAAATCACATCGACTGATGTTCAGCTCCTGTTAAGACACTGATTTTCGAAACCTGGAAATAATTTTAAAAAGCTGGAAAAGTATTAATTCACACCATTTATGATAAGAAAACTTAGTAATATGAGTATTGATACTCATTACAGATGCTGAGAATTCAAATCGACCATTCCTTGTTGTTCTTACGGATCCAGCAGCCGTAAAAAGAGTCCGAAGACGAGCAATAGAATGCAGCGGGGCATTAAAAGGACAATGTTGCAAACAACGATTTTATGTGAGTTTTTCTCAACTTGGATGGGATGATTGGATCATTGCTCCGCAAGGGTATGTATCATAAAGTATGCTTACAGTTTGTTAAAGCATTCAACTTTTAATTTAAAAAAATGTGATTATCTAATTTCTTAGTGATGGTTGTTTTTTTTTATATTTATTTATCGGACTATCCCGTTCAATATTAAAACATGTAATTCTTGATACCGAGGTTCCATATACAATATTAATAGGAAGGCAGTGTTTTCGATATAATCGTTTTTTATTTTATCTTAAAATGGATCAGCTCTTGAAACTTAAAGTGGATGAAAAAGTTTCCTCGATTTTCATATATCTTGTACAAGTGCAATCGAGTATCCTTATCTAAAAAAAAATCAAAGTGAATATTATATATTTTCGGTGTTTCATTCTTTTGAAATTTTATCAAGGTTAAAAATTGGACTAATATTCGTTTATTCCATAACGGTAGTACTATTAATAATATTACATGCCGATCATAATTTTTAAACACGCTCTGATAGGCTTGAAATCAGTGATATTGAATTGCAAAACCTTCTTAATCAAAGCTTTGCACGAGCACCATGTCAACAGGATGTTTAATCTGTAGTGCTTAGTATCCTGTGGGTATTCGACCACCTTTGAAGTAGCCTGATGTTCAGCTTTAATTTCTTTGTTGTGTCTTTTGAGGCAATTAACACCAAATAAAATTTCCAGTCTTGTCCCTCGAGCTCTATATGGAAGACAGCCAATAACTTACCGATAAGGACAGTCCTATCGGTCTTTTTTCACGTGATTGAAGTTTATTCTAACTTTCATAAGTATTTTTGTAGTTTTACAATCTGTCATATCACCTTGACAACACTTCCCTTTCACAGGGTGTGAAGAGAATCGGCGTTAATTTCGACACCATCGTAATCTAGAGCGGAAATGGAAACAAAAGTTTCTTTGAAAAATGTTTGCCAAATAAATACTTCGAATGATAAATAAAGTTAAAAAAATTCGACGGTGAGCTAATCGGGTGTAAGTCGCTGGCGAGGAAAAGCCGAATGTGCTACAAATGATAACAGTAATCTCCCCCCAATCATTTATCCATCTGAATAAATTCACTCTATTAAATAAAAATGAACACAGCTGTTGACGAAATCAAAGAGTGGAGAGACGGTTTGTTCTTTAAATAATTGAAGCTGATCTGGAAGGAAGAAGATCAGGGGTGTACTCTAATACTCTTATACTCTCTTTGATGCTATTTCTCATACTCTCTCTCATCTTTTCTCTCATACTCTCATGCATTCTCGAACACTCTCTCTCTCATTTATTCTCTTTCTCTCTCACCTATTTTTTGCATAATCAAGTGAATACAAGTGAAAATAAAAGATTGAATAAAAGTGAGTATGAGAAATCGGTAAGAAAATACGTGAAAAAAATTAAGAGAATGAATGATAGAATACATGAGAAAATGGATAAGCGAAAATACGAAAGGATAGATGAGAGAAAAAATGGGAGAAAGTGTTAAAGAATGCATGAGAGTATGAGAGAATATTTGCTACTAAACCTGTTTTACGAAAAAAAGACACTACTATGCCTTTTCCAACTGAAACTGATTTTTTGTGTTTGTGCCAGGGCATCCTCATCATCGAAGGCCTACATTTTATTTTGTGATTTCGCCAATTGAGATGTTCTGGCGGGAAAATGGCGTTCGCGCCAAAAGAAGAGAGATTTTTTCTCTCGCCTACTCTTTTGTTGTGAGAGAATAAGGAGAGAGACAAAGATATTAAAATTTTTGTTGTATTGCAGAAGGTGGATTTTGGAATTGGAATGAGCTGAATTATCTGGAGGTGAACTTCAAGGTTATGCTGCCTATAATAGTGAGTAGGTTATGGATTTGGACTTATGTATCTGAGGGAGGTTATAGGATAGGTGAAAACCATGGAGTGGTAGAAGGATCTCTCTCTATTATCTCGAGAAAGAGGTTATTGTACCACGGTACTCGGGAGGATGTTACCAGTTGAATTATCAGTGGCCTTTTAATGTAGTTAGCTGCTGTACGTGATGTTCTTCCTCGCTTACCTTTCTCAGTAATTCTTGATGCAGCTACTGGTGGAAACGAAGCGAAAGAGCAAGGTGAATAATATATGCATTAAATACAACGTGTCGTTAGACCTGGTAATCGTCAGTCAGACGTAAAAGTCAAAAGAACTTCGAGATCGAATTCCTCGTCTCGTTTTCGGAAGTAGAATCGAGTATTTTGAGATTTCTAGACCCCTACAATTTGCATGCAAACTTATGATAGAGGGGAGTGAATACCCCCAGGAGAATTGCATTCACAAGGTAAGTACGCTAATAAAGTGTTTTATTTAGATTTAATACAACAAGCGGGATTCTCCTTCCATGACCTAAGTGAGCAAGCTGTTTACACGTTATCTCGGAGAGGAAAATCTGAGTTATAATTATGAACAATGATAACGACTTATATATGATAGTCGATGAAGCCTTACGAGCGTCAGGGACGACTGGCACCCTCGGGGAATGACTCGGCCTCCAACCCGCTGTATCCGGTAGTGTAGTGGTCTCCCTAGCACCTGCTGGTGTTTCTCAAACTCGTGACAGGACAGCTCACCCACGACAACACTCCCGTTTTCGGTCTTTCTATTTTAGGTAGAGTTGAACTCGACTTAGCTTTGTCTCAAAGAGCGTGTTGTAATTTATGTACTGACTCGTTCGCGGCGTCAGGCCAACTGGTCTTGCCATTTCGCCGCGGCGTGCTTCTCGGCGTCTTGGTGGGAGCCTCCTCCAGTCTGTCATCGGAGCGCCTCTCCTTGCGAACTGTGTCTTCAAAAGTTTGTCGACCTCTGAAGGTCAAGTAGGTTGGTACATGGCCGGTAAAGGTAGTAGCTGGTAAGCGTAGGTACCCTAGAACAGAGTTAGGAGTTTTACCCACAGAGGAAAACATGAGTCTTCTGGACTCTCTGGATGGGCGGCTGATGCAGATGTCGCGACCCGCCACGAAGGAACAATGAATCTCGTCTTGTCACAACATCACCAAAATATAACCAACTTTTGTGTCCTGTAATGATTGAATTTAGAGTTCTGAGACTTCCCGATTCGAAGTCTTCCAACATTTTTCTGTACAAAATTACTTGTGCCCCCCGTTGTGCATCAGTCATCTCGTGAGGTATCCATGAAGTTCAAAATTTTCCAACATTTGAATGGTTTGATATAATTCTTTCGATACTCTGTTCTGATATTTTCAGGATTTTTTTTAATTGTTTATTAGTTATCTATCTATCTTTATTTATAGTTTATCTTTAAAAATCGATGTTTTTTAGGTACAACTTTTGTTGGCTAACCTGAACGAAGTCTGTCCTCCAGTACATCCTGTGTTCAAAATGTAAGAACTATCTCTCAATGGTTTTGGAGGACCGGCAATCCCTACGAAAAACCGTCCTCATTTCCTCTTTACATTGTTTAGCAGATAGTCGGCAACGAAACTTGTAAAAATGATAGGGTAATATCCGATAGTTAGGAACAGCTCCATAGCGACGTACTCACAGAATCACTGATTGAATTGTATCAATAGCTAACAATTTATGTTTGGTCATTATTTAGAATTAGAGCTCTAGATCAAAGACATAAATCGACTACTCCACGACTTGTACAGGACGAATGTATCAGAAAAAATACACTGCTGGGACTGGGGATCGAACCCGGACCGTCCAGTTACGCGCTGGATACTCTACTGATTATGCTATCCCAAACTTGTGTAATTTCTCCTATCAATCGTGCCTGTACTCCTCTTTAATGTGACTTCCTCACTCTACCGTCCCGATTGAGGCTTTAATTAAAGTATAACACTCATATTTTTTTCCAAGCCACTTGGTCTGGAGCCCCAAATCTGCTTATTTACCTTTATTCTTACTTTACTTAACCCATGCAAAAAGGGTACTCTGTTATGATAAGAACAAATCAACGATACCTAGTGTTTAAGTACTTTACGACAAGACCTATGCCGTAAATAACGTAAATAGTAGAGAAGTAACAATGCGTGTTAATTATAAATTAATTATCTTTACCACAAATATTTATTACTATTGAATATGTGAAATACATATTATTCATTGCAACAATTTATTCTTTTTTCAATTTTAAAAATTACTTTATAGAATTAAAATTGATTGGGTCAGATATTATTAGTTTCAAGAATCATCTGTTTCAGACGAAAAAAATTTTTGTAATATATTATTTTTGTCGATTTAAAATTTTTTCATGTTGTTAAAATTAATAAGAGTCGCGTCCATGACTTCTTAACTGAAAATTACTCCTTTTTTTTATTTTCTTTTTCCCCTTTTGTCTGCTCCGCCTTCCCTGCACTTAGCCACGGGGCCATTGTACTGGGTCCAAACTTATGGTAAAGGCGGTCTTAGGTGGGTTGGAACAGCCCGGCCTCGTAGCAAAACTGCAGAAGCCTGTCCGTCCCAATCGTCTCGAGAATGGGTGCGTCGGTTCTAAGGTTCCCTAACAGGCACTGCCTGGGTTCCCTTAGCCACGAGCATTCCCTTATCATGTGGAGATGCGTTTCCTCTTCCTCACCACACCACCGGAACGCGGATTTTTCTCCGCGTCCCAGCATCTTCATATGACGTCGAGTTAGCCAGTGCCCTGAGACGGTGCCCACGGCCACTCTTAGCCTTCTTTTATCCAGTTCGATCAGGTCCCTACTCACTTGAGTTGTGGGTTTCCTGACGAACGCTCTGGTGTGCCTCATTCCCGAGGTCTCCGCTCAAAAGCTGGTGAATTTTTTGTGCATCCACTTGTCCCCCAGCGCCGATCTCCACTGGGCCCCTGTCACCTCCGCCGCTGGCGCCAATACGGGCCAGCCTGTCAGCTTCGGTGTTGCCGCGTATACTGCAGTGACTTGGTACCTTTAGCAGCTTTAGTTTGTTGCGGCATGCCGCTTGTTTTAGTACCCTTCTGCAGTGGTCCACGAGTTTTGAACAGGTAGCCACTTGCGAAAGAGCCGTCAAGGCAGCATAGCTGTTACTGCAGATATAGATATG